CGAACTATTGCAGCCTGACTCTCAGTCCGCCAGTCAACAATTTCAAACAAACAATCACTGGGCTGACCGTACGTCCGAGCCATCCCGTCGGTTGGCAATCTTCCAAGCTACGGCGTTTAGCACACCATGATATGCTCAAGCGCGTCAGATAACTTATAGGGAGGAAAGAATTCTGATTCGTCGACCTTACTCTCTCTCCCACCTCCACCGTTAGGCCACTGTTCGATCCGGTCGGTTGTTCCATGCGGGCAGTGGCCGCAGTGGTTGACAGGGCCGAAGAACCCATCTACGTCCGCCACAACACGACCTGGCTCCTTGAAACACACCAGGATAACCAAAAACCAGAGAGTAGGGCGACACGTCGCCGTGTGACGCCTAATCGAATGGTCAGATGTTCAACATAAAATGCACACTGGACTGATGGCGTGGTCTGGTTTGTAGCGTCAGTTGGCAGCCTTTCAAGTCGCGATCTTCAGTAATCCGCGCAAAATATCCAGGCCCCGGTCACGCATGCAACGGAGGGACCACGTGAAGAAGGGACCAAGGAAGAAAATTCCCTCTCACGTGGAAAGTGCTGGATGCAAGTGGATGGTATGTGGTGTTCGGCGCGAGCATGTATGATGTAGGTGCTAGTGAACTGTAGCCGTGTGGTATACCGGTGGTGTTCTGACGCGGGTTTTCACGGAGGCGTGCGTGACCGTATAGGCTCGTATGCTGTACGAAGGTGCGTGGACGATGTTAACAATAAAGACAAGTGGAGAAAACGGTTTATTGGGGCTCCAGGCATTGGATCCCCAGTTTCTGTGTGATGGATCCGCGATTGACCAAATAGGCCTACACGTGATGTGCCTGTGTGCTGGTAGTGAGAGCAGGATAGATCTGGGGATGCTGACGCGATGGCACCGGTGTTGTAAGTGCTTTTAGTTGTCACGCTGACTAATGGTGATGGGATTGTTGATGGATGTGTGAGATGTTCAAGTGACCGACCAGGCCGATGCGTGAGGGGACTGAACGATCGTAATGGAACCATGTTAGACTGGAGTCCCCATTGCTGGTGGCATGCGAGTGCGAGAAGTACTTCTCTGTCCATTCTGCTTTCAGCCTTTTAAATGCTCCGGATCCCACCTACCTAAGTGTGGGTTCATACCTTGAGTTTTGGGGCGTTTAAATTCCCACTTTTCGAAAACCAGCTGATTATAATTAGGGTCCCAGATATTCCTAGTCATGCGCTGAAGTGCGAACGCCCGACGGCCTAAGGAGGACAACCGATTGAGAAATGATCGCATCAGTTTCCGCTGCAATCCTCATCGTTAACATATATCCATTAATGATCCTTTATAGAGTAATGAGATGAAGTTAGAAGGCAAAAGGTAAAACACAGTCAGGGGCAAAGGTGACACATAGGCGATAATGGACACTGCACCACTGCTCAAATGTCGCCTACCTGGATGAGGCCAAAAAGTGCTAGAGTAGCACTGTCGATCAGGGGACGTAGGAGGTAGGTACATCGCTTCACCACATCGAGAGGCAGGGCTTCCAGTCGTTGCTGCAGGCGTTCCATCTCCTGACGCTGTTCCTCCTCCACTGTGCGCAAAACCTGGGCACCATCGCCACTGTTGCCACTCTTGGGCCGATTTTTCCCTTTCTGCAGCTCGTCACCACCGTGAATACGGCAGCAGACGCCGCTGGTCCAGACTTCGTCCTGACCGCAGGCACAGAAGCCATGAGCGTTTTTCGCTGCCTACGGATCACAGATAGGAGGGCAAACAGTTCAAAAAACAGATTGAGTTGCCTTATCCACAAATAAGTATTTGTCGCCACCGCTAATGCCACTAAGAACTTGGATGGAGGAAGAACGGGCAAATGATATCCTTTAATAATTGATACATCCCCTTAACTGAAACCCATCGCTGCCTTAAAAGAGATATGATAGTAAGATAGTTCCTATTGGGATTAATTGCTTATTTCCTTACCGTAAACACTCAAACTCTAAAAAAGACTGATTCGCATAAAATTCGCATTATGTTTTTAACATGCAGACACGAGGCCCCAGTTCACTTAGAACTTGTCTCGACAGTGAAATATTTTCGATGCAGGAAAGAGGAGCGATTTAGATACAATGGAACTCTGTGATAGAATACGCTGGTCGGCACCACACTGATAGTCGTAAACTGTGCCATCATTGCGGGCACGAGCATGTAGTCTGCTTAAGGTGTCACGACAGATCGAGCACCGTTACCTACGATGTTCATCGTATGCTATACAGCAGAATGGGTGCAAGTCGGTGACTGACGCGTTAATTCGTTTAAATTGATTGCAGACTACCGCCACGATTTACGCAATAGAGGACACCGGTGGCTTGCGCCGCGTGAGCGTATTCTTAGATGTGTCACTTTACCCCCGCATCTAATTACCTTTTCCAGATTACTGAACGCAATTTTGTTTCATCTCCCACCCTGACAGCCGCACGGTCTTTTTTCTACTCACCCGCATATTTTACTTACTTGCATAATTAAATAAATGTCGAGGCCTAACGAGAATTTCTCACAAGCAGACGTATTCTTTTTTGCATTTTTCAACGGACATTTTTCCAACCATAAAACATTGTTAGTAGTGCTGACGCCTAATAAGGCTGCCATTCCTTGTTTTGGCACCAATTTTGGACCAGCATATCTACTGTGTGGTACGTTATGACAGTTCGACCAGCGGTGTCTACCATGACCTCCATGTACTACGTAACGTGGTAGGTGCAGGGGGTGATGATATGCGCACAAATTAGTGTATAATTATAGTAGACTTGGCCTGCATCTACCACACTCTCCCTTCCTCTCCCCCTGGGTCCGGTGTCATGATCAAATCAAAAAGACGGAGGCGGAAGAGGCCTGGTGCGGCGAGAACTCCTAGCTAGGCGATCCCTCAAACCCCCACCACCACGTGTGACATATATTATGAGTGCACAACGGCAATAGTGCCTGTTATGTCCTGTACTAGTCCGTCTGTTGGTCCAGGTCATCTATCACGTGTCCCCTTTTAGGGGTCCAAATATCAACTTGTCGGTCGGGTTTATTATAGAAGTTTCCTGTAGACAAGTAATCGAGGAAATATTTCCTGCACAGAGTCATCAGAAACTTTGTATTATAAAAGCGTATGAGAAAATCGAGAAAAAGAAGACGAATGGTAGAGGAGTTTTGCATGAGATAGGTCCTAACCCCGGTCCACTCGCTGACCTAGTTATTATCTTTAGCAACCCAAGTCAACTACAAGTAAAATTAAAAGAACAAATTGTAGGAGAATACAGGATCGCTTACCTCATAGTTGTGCTTAGTGTGGATACTCGCAAAAAAGCAAGTTTTGCAAAGGCAGCTGGCCACACCAGTGGAACAGTCACTAGAAAATAAAAAAGGTAAAGCATTGGTTCGTTGAAGCCCTCCAACTAATTAAGAGATGATCGCATTTAAAAGGCGGGAGTATTCAAATCACAGGAGCTTGCAGGTTTAAATTTATGCAGAAAATCCAACAGTACAACGTTGATACTCTATGCAAAATTTAAGCATCGGCTCGATCCGATAAGAGGAACAAATCAATGGTACACGCGACAGTTTATGCATCAGAAGGAGCGAGGTCTATTAGCACTAATACCTATCTCATGAGATAGATTACCATATAATCTACCTCATGGTGCCTGTTTATACCTGAGCAAATCTCGAGGTCAAGCCGATTGAACGTGAGCACGATACAGTGCTTAAACTAGTGGAGTCACATACACGCGTGCCACACAAGTATAGATTTACGCACAAACTGACAAACCATCCTTCGACAGAGTACGGCCACAGTGTTCACATAAAGAAGGTGGGCGGAATTATCTCGCTAGTTGACGACATTTCAGAGTTATAGATTTCGCGCGTCCATTTAGTGTAAGAGCGCCCTTCGAACACTGGCTGATGTATAAGACGTTTTTAGAATGCCAACTGCCTGCTGGCTCGATTACTGATCATTAATTATAAACCGACCAAGCGGCCAACAAGTGAAATCGAAGTTCCCAAATGTCTCTGGAAGGTCCTGTATTATCCACCGAATACGCACAACAAGAAGGAGACCATTCCCCATCCCCTTTAGTCTGCGCTGCCCCCTTCCATTACTGGTTGTTTGAGGAATAGTACCTGCAGTTTACTGTCGACACACACTCTGGGCGTGAGCTTAATTTGGGCCCTGTTATCCTTTCAAGAGCTTTCCTTTTGCCATTTTTATTAAGTAGAATGAAAACAGAAGTAGAGACTGGACTAACGTTGTTCTCGAGGTTGTTAATGCGTTCTTCAAGCAGACAAATCAACCGTAAACCATCCGTCCACGCGAACATTACGGAGATGGTTCACGAAAAGCACTGGCCCAAAAAAGATAGCAGAATCACCGAATCGAATTTCTATCAGACCCTACAACTATTACTACTGCGACTCCTACTACCATTAATACTGCCACGACTCCTATTGTGATTCCTAATTCTAATACACATTTCGTATAAAGTGGAAGGTAGGCATCTCAAGAAATGTAATTTCAAGGAAGGGCGTCCTTCGGGAAAATTAGGAAACTTTATTCAGCAAATTATTGACACTTGATAACCAGATCGTCGTCAGACTTGAGAAAATCTGCAAAGAACATTCAATACTGCACTCCAACTACTACCCTAACTACCATTATTACTCCTGCTAGCAGAAACGTTATCATTGCTACTGCCACAACCCCGCGCTGACGATGAGCACTCCTCTCAGTCAAAATAACTGTAACAGCGTTCCCCAAAGTGTCGTCAATCCCTACCGTAACCTCCACCAACCCAAAGGCAGCACTATGGACTAGATTCCAATCTGCGGTCATTGCGATCACCCATTCAAATTGAACACTTACCTGAGCAGCCACCCGCGAACCCATCACACTGAGGCGAATGAACAAGTGTCAGGAGCACCAACATGCCCCCGTCCTCCCACTGCATTTATGCGAACTGCTTGTTCCGGTCTGACACAACAGCACAGACTGTGTTTGGCTCCAGACCTTTAGCCATACGCGCGTAAGATTTTGCGCTTAAGTTAACTAGACTTTTTCGCATTTTAATCTTTTGATTTAGGAACTAGCTTCGCGCAATCTGTGGACTCGAAATAGCTTCGATAGCCTCAAACGCGTAACATTGTTAATATTGAGGAAAGGGGGCGTATCCGTCGAACTTACTTCTCCCACCACCTCCAGCATCAGGCCGTCATTGTCTGATGCGGGGAGTTGGCACACTGGCTGACGGAGCCGGCGAAACCGCTATACGCGCAACAGCACGACCTGTCCCCCTTGCTGCACACACCACGATTACTAAAAATCAGGGACTAAGAAGGAGCCGTCGCCGTTTGACTTCTTGTCCAATGG